ATGGTCTTTTTATGCGGTTCGTACCGACAAATGATTTTGAAACAAATACCTACACAATAATAATTACCGATGTCGATATGAAACTACAATAATCCGCAGGGCCGCTCGTGGGCCTTCTGCTTTTTTTCACGCGTTGAAAATGGGTTTTTTCTTTCGCGAAACCATTGTATTTTGACAATACACTATTATATTATATATTATTATAGACGGTGGTACCAGACACAATACCGTCATAAATTCAGATAATCAGATTAACATCAACACATCATCATATTTTCTACAGTACGCATAGTCGTCGTCAACAAGAAGGTTTATGTTGTGGTTTAGTGCCTGAACGCGTTATAATATATCGACGACTGTAATCAAAAACCACCGTTTACCCGCGAGTAAGTTTTTAATGAATATCGCTTGTTTTGTTCCGTAGACTTAAATCGGGCCATGTATACTAAAATAAACTCTTTCAGGTTAGTACTACTCATTATAAGTTATTAGCAGAGAAATAAAGATTTAAAACGACATATTATTATCTGCAATATGAAAAATGTAATTTTTCGGAATATTGGATTTAAAATGAAATTATTTTTTTTTTCTCCTATACTATCACGTTTTGGAGCAGACAAAAATGTTTCAGTCTTAAACTTTGAGGGACGGTTCTGGTAGCCCACAGTGGAATCTAGTCGATACTTTGCGAGGTTAAGGGTGTTTGGGCCTTGGAAACATTATATATTTTGATTGAACATTTATTTTCATCAACGACGCTCATGTACATGTAGTTCGGTGATTTTTATACAAATTTAAACACGATTTGTCTATTTTCGTGGGGACGGATAAATTAGGTACCTAATGATTTCCAATATTTATGAAAATATTTTGCTCTGAAATCTGATACTATAATAATGATTTTAACGCACGCACATGTTTTTTTCGCGTCGCTTTCGTGCATTTAATGATGCATTTTTCTTCTACCGAAATTTTCTCTTCTACTTTCCTCAGAAATTTAATTCAAATTTAATAGGTACGTCCATTACAGTGATCTACTCGAAATATTATATATTATACAGAATATACCCAGAATGTACCTATTATTCATGTTTTTTCCATTTTCCATGCATTTTATCAAATTCTGATTTATTGAAATTTTAAGTGGGTAATAATATTATTATTTATTAGAATATTACCTATGTATTTGACATTTAAACCGACCAAAAAAAAACCAAAGTTGGCAAAAATATTAACTTATTACTATTATTATTAAAATTAATACTGCTTGAATTTAAAAATATATTATTTAATGTATTTTCACAAGGCAAACTGCATAGGTTCATGGAATACGTTCGTGGCTTGGTCACATTGCAATTTTCAATTTTTTTTTTTTGGACAATCTTTTAGAATTAAATTACTATGTATTTCAGTATTTGCATGTTAACTTTTATAATACATATTTTCTTGAGCCAATATTTAGAATTATATTTACACGGTCAGTCCTGAAACTCTACCCATTCATTCCAAAATCAATTTTTTTATATTAGAGCATGTTTCCAGCCTCCCTCCTCAAAAAAAAGTAACCAACCAAAATATCTATCAAGTTCTATGATCGATAAATCGATGATTAACATACAGGAAATATCGATAAAAAATATTCACTATAACCTTATATAAGTCACCTCATACACGATAGACCTAAATAATACACACAATGACTGGTATCCACCCAGGTATAGATCTAGAGCGAAGATCGGGGGGATTTATTAAAATGTACACCACTTGAATACTTATCTAAGAGATAATAGTTATCATGTACATTTTTTAATATTATAAAAATACCCATCAAATCCATAACTATCACTTGCGCTCTATTATTTGTATACATATATATAATAATTAATATACGTCTTAATTTATTAAAAAATTCTGGGACCCAAGTGCTATATATGCATAGATGATATCGATAATATTACTTATTTTTGCTTATGTTTTTACTAATTTATACAATGACATTATTATTTATTAAAGTAAATATTTCTTTAAAAAAAAATGGAATTGTGTGTGACACGTGTGCGTTGTGAGCTCTGCTCCTCTCTATTAAAAAATTGTACCTATTATTACTCGTTAGTTATTATCAGGGCTCGGGACTTAAAGCATTTGCTTATTTTTATAGATTGACTTAAAATGTAGCAGAGTGCTATAGAAGTGTATGTCATGTTATAACACATTCAATTATGAAATTTGAGAGTGCTTTTTTTTTTTTGCTTTTTTCAGTGATTTTTCAAAAAAATGCTTATTTCAAGTTTTTCTGATAATTATTGCTTTTTTGACCAGTTTTCATACTTTTTTATGATTTTCTACTGCAAAGTTGTTTTTGATAGAATTAAAATTAAAAATAATTAAAATTAAAAAATTAATTTTTTTTCAACTATTTGTAAATATTATTCACATTTTATTTTTCAGAAAATCCCTTGGAATATCCATAAAATCCTCAGTCCTGAAAATGAAGTTTAATTTTTTTTATGATATAAAGATAAAGTTTTATTTTTTATTTTATTGTTTTTTTTTTTAATAAATATTTTTGCTTAAATTTAAGTTTTTTAAATGCTTATTTGAGTGCTTATAATGATGTTTTTAAGTGCTTATTTTAATGATTTTAAGTGCTTAAGGTCCCGAGCCCTGGTTATTATCAATACAAAAAAATTTAAATTTACAAAAAAATGTTTTAGACGTATACCTATAGTCATTTACATGATGGATAGATATTTTATGTTAACAACTTCCTTTGTATAATTTTCTTATGTCAGGTTTTGGAATAGTACCTATATACACGGAATGCTGACATTTGAATATTCCGGACATCGGTGTTTAGTACTTAATATACATTTCTTTTCTTTTTCCATATGATATTATGTCGTTTCGCAATAGCGTACTATATTATAGCGATTTGTACCGTTCGAAATCCGTTTTTTTTTCTCCCGTACCGCACCCGCCGGACGCATTCTATATATAGTTTGTATACATTTTTTTTTTTTTCGTTCACCCGCATTTGGGACGCAATCGGATAATAATATAATAAAATATTATGCTCCACTTTACAACCAGTTTCGAACGGGACGCGATCAAAACACGGGGAAGGTAAAAAACTATAATATATAAATAAATATAAAAGGTCGAAATGCGTCGTGAACGGAATACGCTCGCGGTGTGCAGCTCACATAAAAATAAAAGAAAAAAACAAACCCGGTGTGACATACCGCAGCAGGAGTCGGGTGGGCAGCATAGTATTCGTACCTGGCCACAACTTACTGCCCCGCGAGCGGTGCACGTGTGTTTGTATATTATTATTATTATTATTATTCAATATAGCATTTGAAAGCCATAACGATAAACATAAAAATCATCGCGTTCGCCGATACATATAGACGGTGTATCGTACGGGCAAGATATTGTGGCCTGTATAGTGATCGTGTATGGAAAACAGAATCTACTCTCGCAAATGCGCGTTGGTCGTGAACCGCACACGCTCGCTGTCATTTTTTTGTCTCGAAAATATACGATAGTTTGTATATACACATAATTTAGCCGCCCAATAGGAAACCGCCTAGAATTAATGGAAAAAAGTCCATGTATATAGCGGCCACTTGTTCGCGAAACTATCGAAACCCAGAATCTAAAATTACTGTATAATATATAGGTAATATGATATTATATTACTATGTTTGTTAATCGACGTAACTGATTTGTCTTGCGAGACAAATGTAAACAAAAAAAAATTGTTACCATTTTATTCATAGCACACACACACCCAAACGACTGCAGTCGTTAGCACATGTTAAACATACAACTAAAAAACGTTATACCTATATACTTGATATTTTATGTCTGCAAGGAAAATCTATGAATCATGAATATGTTTTTGGGGAAAAGTTACCAGGATACCAATAATATTTGTTATAAATTCATAAGCGTTACGAAAATCGGTCAGGAAAAAAAGTTATAGAACTATATAAATTTGTGCAGCCAAAGTTGTGTCACTGGAAGTTGTCCATTTATCTTTCCTGCACACATCATCCAGTTTCTATTGTAATCAAACACTAAATTTGTACATAATATGATATTTTTGGTAAACGAACACTTTGTACTATCTATTGTTTGAGTTGCATACCGCGGACACTTTGTACGGTGATTAAATAAATTGATAAAAATCAATCGCGGACACTTTGTAGTTTGTACGATATAAATAAACCGGGAAATATAGTCGAGAGATAAGATAAAATTGACTTGCTCAAAACTTTAGATCGCGAATCGTGATCAAATATTAGGTGGAAGTGTTCAAAAGTGACTTGTACGGGTAAAGTTACTACAAACCTTCATGAATAAAAACCAAAATACACAAAAAACAATCCACGAAGCCTGTACACAGCACGAAAATAAAATAATTACAAATACACAATTACTTGAAATAATTTGTCATACTTTTAATTTTTAAATATTATATTAACTATTATTATTATTGTTGTTATTATTATTTTATGTCTGTTAACTACATGGGTTTTGTAATAACAAATTATGTGATAATGTGATATAGGTACTATATATACGCACTTGTATCTTTTGTTTTTTCCATTTGAAAAATACACACTTCTATCTAGGTACCTCAAATAGTACAAACTGTCCGCCATGTACATTGTATTGTTATTTGAAATAGTACAAACTGTCCGCCATATTGACGGTTGTTACTACCTGAAATAGTACAAACTGTCCGCGGTTTTAATTTTTTCTAGGTGACCGTACTGCAAAGTGTCCTACAACCGATATTTTTAATTTTTACAGATTGTAAATATTCAAGTTATATATTAAAGTGTAATAGGTTTAGTTTAATTACTTACATCACATGTCGCCCTCAATATATAGTAAAAATGTTTTACCAATCTAAAACCATAATTTTGCAGGCACTTATTATTGTATTACAATCTATCCATCTATCAAATCGTATTAAAGGAACATAAATGATGTTTTGGATCATCGGAGCAATACTATTTGGTGTATTGTATGCTGGCTACCTGTGGCGTTCCAACAGAAACTTACCCCCAGGCCCTTGGGGTGTTCCAATTTTCGGCTATCTACCGTGGTTAAATCCAACCGAACCTTACAAAACGTTAACGGCGCTGGCTTGTAAGTATGGGTCAATTTACAGCATTCAGATGGGCAAACATTTTGCAGTCGTCATGTCAGACCCGACACTGGTTAGAATGGCATTAGCCAGGAACGAACTGGCAGATCGCACCAACTTCGAAGTTGTCAACGAAATAATGCAAGAACATGGTAGGTAGTAGGACTATAGGTACTATAAGTACCTAAACTTCCTATACCATTTTGAATAATATTCGAGTATTGCATATTTGTATAGTTATTATGGCTCTTTTTAACAATATTTTAAATTGTAATAATCTATATAGGTTTGATATTTACACACGGGCCTCTTTGGAAAGAACAGCGAAAATTTGTTTGCAATTGGCTTAAGGTGATAGGCGTGACCAAGTTCGGGGACAAGAAAAATAACTTACAACTACTTATTGCCGACGCCGTGTCTACTACGATCTCGGTAACACACTTAATGCCAAGACGATTATAGATAATTTATAAATATTATACTTTTCTACATGTAATTCGGTTATACATATTTTATTTTTTTTTAGAAATTACGTCAATCAGATAATCGTCCGATTGACACTGGAACGTTTTTTCTTGTACACATAGGAGATTTTATAAATCTCATAGTGTTGGGTAAAGCGTGGCCAGAAGATGACCCTAATTGGATTTATTTACGAAATTTGGCCGAAGACGGGTCCAAAAAATTCGCCATTGCTACTCCATTGAGTGTTTTGCCAATATTGAAGTTAGAAACGATTATATTAATTACTCGCTTCATATCCGTATAATAATAATGTGTTAAAAATTATATATTTATTGTTGATGTATAATTGTCTTAGGATAATACCGAAGTACAGAAATACTGTTTTTGAAGTAATCGAGGGAGTTAAAAACACGCATTTCATATATAAAACTTTGATGGAGAAACGAGGCAACGAAATCCACGAAAGTGACGATCTGATGGCCATGTTCATGAAAGAAATGACCAAGAGAACAAATGACAAGGATTCCCATCACTTCACTGAAAAACAATGTTGTTTTCTTCTGTCTGATCTTTTCGGCGCTGGTGTCGAAACAACCGTAAATACCTTAAGATGGTTTCTTCTGTACATGGCTTTAAACCAAGGAATACAGGTAATAATCACATTTTTTTAAAAAATCATTACTGGAATAATATAGGGTTATTATACACGGATATAATCATATATGTAACAGTCTTTGACGAATATTTATTTAATATTATGTGGTTCATACCTATATGTATCGTAAAAAATGAAAAAAGAAAATAATAAAATACAGGTGTACTGATCTGAATATTATTATAAACTGTTGATTGTAGGTTAACTGCACTGGTACATGGATATTATACATATTATAATTTATAATGAATTATGATATCAAATTTAAATTTAATTAACTACTACTTACTAACTATTTATTTACTTCTACGATCGTTTTAAATATACACTTAATATAGGCACCTATACTCAGATAGACAAACTTTTTAAAAATAAAAAAAATAAAAACAAATACCTAGATTAACTTAAAAAATGTCATGAAATTAATAAAATAGTAACATAATATACAACTATTATGATTTAAAATAAATTATGAGAATTAACTGTGATTTACTCAACTGTAATCTAAAAATATACATAGTAAAAAATCAGCGATAACGCGTTATAGTGATCAAATTTAAATAAAACAAAACATTTTTAGAACGACTTACATAAATCGCTGGATTCTGCGTGTACCGATGGTGGATTAATAGGTTTAGAGCAAATAAAAAGCATTCCTCTGCTAAAAGCTTGCGTATCTGAAACGATGCGATTGCGGCCGGTGGCTCCGTCTGGGATACCGCGGTCGGTAAACACCGAAATTACGATTTCGGGATACCGCATACCAAAGGGGACCATGGTCTTACCGCTGCAGTGGGCAATGCACCACGACGAAAAATATTGGACGGACCCGGAGACGTTCCGACCGAAAAGATTTTTGGACGACGAAGGGAATATGATCAACCACAAGGCCTTCATGCCATTTCAAGCCGGTTAGTTATATTATATTAGAAACGTCGATTTTTTTTGAACCAATTTGTCAATGCGATGTGCTGTTTTCAGGTAAAAGAGCTTGTGTCGGAGACACGCTTTCCTATTGGATACTCTATCTGTTCGGCGCAAATATAATTCACAATTTCAACGTTTCCCCAGAACGAGGTCTATCCGAAAAAGAAATCAACACCATCATGGACGGGGAGTTTGGCATAACGCTAAGTCCGGCCGCGCACAACGTTGTTTTCAAATCTCGAATTTAATATTGTGAACCGGTTCCCAATTTGTTTTCAATCGATTATAAAAATATGATCTTTAAATAAAATATATATAAACGTACAAAAATCTATTGTAAATAGGTTATTTTGGATATTACCTGTGGGGTGTTCTCAAAATGTATGTTTTCTAAACCACCGACTTCCGTACCTATTCTTATATTCTACGTCATATCATAGGCGCAAATTGGAGGGGGGCTTGGGGTGCTAAGCCCCCAAACTTAGCCGTAGCCCCCCAAAAACCTAGGACATACAATTTTAATATGCAGCTATATTGAAATGGTCTGCTTGCCTTTAATATATTCAGCCCCCCCCCAAACCGAAAGTTGAAATTGCGCCCATGCGGTCATATCCTATATAGGTACTCATAATTTTAGGTACCCATGGGGCATGATCGACTAAAAATTACCAATTATTTCAAAATTTTATCGAAGAAATCGTAATGATTATAAGTACAAATTACGTACAGGATGGTACCACTTTAAGATAATATCTCTCCGGACCTAAATCAGTATCTCGTGTCTGTGTGTGCGTGTGCGAATGGTTTTCACTATATTATTATAGTCTTATCCGCGTTTGTGCAAACAAATTAATTAATTCATAATAATATGTATAATGCACTTCTGGCGGGAAAATTATTCCATTAATGTAGGAAGTATATATAATAAGTGTATGTCCAAGGAAATTGTAATACTATAATAATAATAATAATAATATAATAAGTATAAGTAATAACTAATAATGCAAACATGACCGGTCTGGTCGGTTATATAGGTTATATTGGCAGTGTTTACTATAGGTAATATACGCCTCGTATTATGGTGTCTACCGGTGAGTGTTTTTATCATTACCATAATTCATAATAATAAATACATAATTTTTTTTTCAAATTATTTACGACGATAAACAACAGCGACGTGCCGTGGTAGATTTATTTTTAAAAAAAAAAAACGGTACGATAGGTTTATATTATATATGGTACCGTGGTACCGCATTATGGTACTATATATGTATAGTATAACTATATATATATAACTTGTAATTATTACGAGTCGAGAGTTCGGGTATTATTTAAGACGTGTGTATAATACGAATTTGAATGGCGATGCAACCGATGTACCTAATTTTAGAAATCGGTTTTTAGTCGACACCCGAATACACAACAATATAAACCATATTATATAGACCGGTCAAAAAGCGTTTCGAAAAAACAATACCTGCAAACATGAAATTTTATTGCAAGTCGTAAAAACGGCGGTTCTCCCGTCTCGCGGACTAGAGAAGGTTATTCGGCTGCAATCGTAAACACAGTTTTATTATTGTCTACGGACCGTGTGTATACCTATAATGCATTATTGTTATTATTAATTGAGTTCGGATTTAAAGGCAATATTATAATCAGTAAAAAAAACCATTCAAAATGTCAAAAAAGGCAAAAAATGCATCTATGTGATAAAGAATTACGAAAAAAATTTACTAAAAAATTAAATAGTTTGTACATTTAACTAGCGTGTGTATTAAAAAAAAAAAACATCACACTCGTGTACTTAGATAAACTGTCTACCGATAAAGAATGCAAGAAAAGGCAAAAGAATTCATCATCTTACATATATATTATATTTAATGACACGCGTTTTTATGTAAAAATTATTTCTCTATTATTATCGTTATTAAAAAAAAAAATGGATTTTGCCTTCGAATCCGAACCTTAATTATTACGGTTTAGGGGGTGGCAGAGAATATTATATATAGTAGCGATTTATAATATTTTATCGTCGTTTGTTCGTTATAATAATATTGTTTTTATTTGACAATAAGATAGTGTTGTGAGGTTTTTCTTTATTACCCCGAAAACGACGACGGTCGTAAATAATCGGTGGTCGAATTTGAATAACAGGTTTTTTTCGCCCAATAACCCAAATGAGAATTTAATAAAAAAAAAAAAAAAACAGACATTTTTCGTTCGTATTCCGTAGGTAGGCCACTAGGGTTATGCCGTGTGCAGCATATATATATATATTATATGGAATTAAGATTTACGAGTTCTACCGTCGAAACATAATAATACAATTTTGTTAATGAATTCTTTTGGAATTCTGTAAACGATCCAATACGCGCAGGTTTAGGTGGGCACTGTGAATAATAAAATTTTTGCGATGCGTGCCATACCTTTTTATTCGTATTGTGTTTACTATAGTTTGATTTTGGTCTGCCGTCGGTAATAGCAATGCGTAAAGATATTAATTTTGTTTTTTTGTTTTCCTCTCTATGCCGATATTATATTATCAATATATACCTACACGTATTCAACACCGTGTACATCACAGCCTAATACGGTGCCAATTTACAATATTAATTTATGTATTTAGGTATAGGTACTACGCATTTTTAGGATGTTAAAAAATCATTTTTTTCATACCTATTAGGTATCTAAATTACATAGACTTTGTTCATTCAAAAGCAAATTCGTTAACGTTAAATATTTTAACAATGATAAACGTAAGAAAAAATAAGTACGGACAATTTTTTGAGCAATAATTAATTAGCCGAACACCGAGTATATGACTTCTGCAAACTATAACAATAACTCAAAAAAATGGTTTCATATATGGCACGATATTGATAAATATACCTCAAAGTAGAAAAAAAGCATTTGATTTTACTTTTCCTAACCATGTACATTGTACACGCATAATATGTGCATTGTGCAATGTGCTTATTAATTATTACTAGGTACTCACCTATTAGAGGTCGATTAAAATGGAAAATTGATATTACTTTAAAAACAACAAAACAAAAAAATTAAAATAATTACAATCTGCCAATACTTGAACACTTGAGTATTTATTTTTTTTTAATGAAACTGTTACAACGACATAATAATAATATAATCGATGCTATAATATTAATGAAAATTAATGAATATTGTAAAGTGATTTACTACACTAAGAAGTCACAACACACATCACCCAAAAAAAAAAATTCCGTGAAATTTCGTATCCAAACATAAATCTTACGCTAATCAATCATTATTAAATACATTTTTATAATGCATAAGAGGTTAGTTTTAATCACAATATGAAGTAATTAATAAATTTGGTAAGAGTTCCTCACATTTAATGTCGATATCAATGAACTATTAATGAAAAAATGTCAACGTTTTTAATATTGTCTACGAAAATATATATATTAAAGGCGTCGGTTTTTTAGTACAAAAACATGTCTCACAGGAAAAACTCTCAGGCCCTGTACATTGCAGTCGGATTTTCTTTATATTTAAAAGAACAAAACATTTTGCAGTTCGGACCAAAGCCAAATTTTCAAAAGATTATAACTATACAGACGCTAAAATTTCCGTTTGGATAATGCACGATATTTGTTATTTTTCAAAAACTTGGGCTTTGACCTCATCTGAAAAAGTTCTCTCGTTTCAGATAAAAAAAATTATCGAAATTCGACGTATTATCGACCCATGCGAGTTTCTCCTGTTAAAACATTTTTGTTGATATAATAAACCGTATCAACCCCCCCCCTCCCCCAATATCGGGCAGTAAAATAGTGGAAAAGTATTATAATTAGGTTTAAGTTTTATTATTGACGACTAAAATATAATTTATATAGAATTTTCAAATTTTATAGAACTGCTGAAAATTGGAAAAACCGGCACCGACGCCCTTAATATTGTAATATTAAACTCTTTAGTGTTGTGAATAAATACTAAAACACCAATTATTATTAAGTTGACCGTTATTTAAAAATACTATTATTTAATTAATTTCCATTTGGTTGTATCCGCTCGCTTATTACCAAAAGCTAAATAAAAAAAAAAAATATAAAAATATAGGCATACAAATATTGGTATGCGCAGTTGTAGTAGATAATGATAAATTAGTTTAGTTTAAAAATGTTATAAGAACTCTGGACTTGCGCTCGTGTTATAGATATTTCGAAGACGTCAATTCTCGAGTCTAAGGTGCACACTTGTTGATGCAACATTCCTCTGAAATAGTTAAAACACAGTAGAGATTTATAAACAAACATCGACAACTCGACTTAAGAGCAGATATGTTGGTTTAAAGTTGATGTGATTTGTCGCTAAAAGGTGAATTTTTTCTTATTCCAATATAATATGTAGGTAACCAGAGAGCGAGTTTTCCATAAAAAAACCATCGATCAATCACATCACTTTGTCGATTGGAAATAATATTATTATTTAGTTCATTTCCATTTGATTGTTTCCACATCATTATTACTAAAAGCTAAATAAAAACAAAATAAAAATTTAGGCATACAAATATTGGTATGCGCAGTTGTAGTAAATGATAATGATAAATTTGTTTAGTTTAAAAATGTTATAAGAACTCTGGTCTCCCACACAATTATTGCTTCGGGAGACGAATTATTGACAAATCCACGGTCTTATTATAGCGCTTATTCTTTTGAAACGGAAAACAAAACTTACTCACTTATATTATACTTAACTATACTCGCACTCGTGTTATAGATATTTTTATGGCGTCAATTCTCGAGTCTAAGGCGCACACTTGTTGATGCAACATTCCTCTGAAGTAGTTATAATAACGCAGTAGAGATTTATAAACAAATATCGACAACTCGACTTAAGAGCAGATATGTTGGTTTAAAGTTGATGTGATTTGGCACTTATAGGCGAATATTTTTTCTCATTCCAATATAATATGTAGGTACCCAGAGAGCGAGTTTTCCATAAAAAACCATCGATCAATCACATCACTTTATCGATTGGAAATAATACTATTATTTAATTAATTTCCATTTGGTTGTATCCTCTAGCTTATTACTAAAAATTAAATAAAAAAAATAAAAATTTAGGTATACAAATATTGGTGTGTGCAGTTGTAGAAAATAATGATAAATTAGTTTAGTTTAAAAATGTTGTAAGAACTCTGGTCTCCCACACAATTATTGCTCCGGGAGACGAATTATTGACAAATCCACGGTCTTATTAAAGCGCTTATTATTTTGAAACGGAGAACAAAACTTACTTATATTATACTTAACTATACTCGCACTCGTGTTATAGATATTTTTATGGCGTCAATTCTCGAGTCTAAGGCGCACACTTGTTGATGCAACATTCCTCTGAAGTAGTTATAATAACGCAGTAGAGATTTATAAACAAATATCGACAACTCGACTTAAGAGCAGATATGTTGGTTTAAAGTTGATGTGATTTGTCACTTATAGGTGAATTTTTTTTCTTATTCCAATATATAGGTATATATAAAATCGATTAATCACAATACTTTGTCGATTAAAAATTATATTATCTATAAAGACGTACTTTAGAGAGGACTCATAGATGATTTTCTTGCTGTAATTTCCTCGAGCGTGAGGACAATATTTCCTGACAGAATATTGCCAACAAAACGCTGAAATATTACAATAATGGCAATGCGTTTATAAACGAAATCGATTTCGGTTATTATATGTTGTATTCTCCACGGTCATATAATGATGTGCAATTCGCAAATTGCAATTTGTTTAATATTATATGCTAAGACCGGGAAATGCAATACCTACAAGGTTAAGTATTTTTTAATATTATATTATTATATTCCAACGAGAACTTAAAAAGCACAATAATAATAATATTGTTCGTCGACTTTAATATTGCTGGTGAATGACGAAACAAGCTCTAACAAGTCGACTAAAAATAACGATTTTTATTTCTGACGTTGGATTTATTTTTAAATTATTTTATGATTATTTCGAGAATTGAAAATTAAAATTGTTCATACGATTCCGCTCTCCTTGCTCATTTACCTACCTATTTATTAGTGTGTAAAAAATATGATTAATGTTTATTACTATACTAAAATGCTAAATATTTGATCATTATAATAATATTGTTCTTGTAAGTGACTTGAAATTATAAAAACCAATTATATGTAATCCAAAATCAGCTCAGAATCGCTTTTCGAATGCTTCGGATTCATCGTCGCTTTCGAGTTTTTAGTAACAGTAATGAATAATAATAATAATTCACAATGTGAAGCTTCAGAGTGACCGAAGAGAGACTATAATATAGTGTCTTAGATATGTACCTGATCCATGTAGTAACGTTTCTGTTTTTTTTTTTAATATTATCTGTAATTTTGTTTTTGACATCATATTTTTATATTTTTTACACTCCCGTCAGCACTTTGTCGACAAATCTACACGAAAATGTGGTTTCTTGGGTAGGTACATTTATATTAATATTTATTATATATTATTATTTATTTATACACTACACCCGAATAACTGTAAGTTGTTTTATTGTTATCAGTTGGGCAGCGTAGATTTTCCACAGGGGTTGAGTTAAACTATACTTTCTAGCTCATTTTTCCTAGCGATTTGTCACACAAAATCTAAACGTGAACCACGTGATATCGAGCAGGAAACCTGATGTTTGCAAAAAATTGTAAGCCTTGGGACAGCTTTGATCTAACACCACCTGATGGTCCTTAGTCAATTAAATTGTCATTCGTGTCGTATTAGTTGCGTGGATAGTTCCCCTGAAGTAAAATAATATAACGAGTGATTGACAAAAACATTCAACATTTAATTTTAATAGGTTGCTTGTACATTGGTAATAATATAATATATATAAAAAAAAAAAACAACAATTATGCCTTAATACGAAATATAACACTACATCAAATAATTTTTATAAAAAATGGTATATGGCACTAAGTACATAAACATATCAATAGGAAAACATGCACTTGTAACTACTTTAAATAAACAAATATAAAAAAAAAGTTTTAAATTTTAAAACAGTATAAACTAAACTAAACTAGCTAATCAATAAATAGTGTGGTCTTAAATATTACAATATGTTAGAAAATGTATAATAATATAATATAATTTATAGGGAACCACGTACGATATGTGTTGGTTATAAATAAATAATGAAACGTTTTAAACAATAATAATAATATTACTATGGAATATCATACTCTAACAAATACATAACATTCCATTAAAAATACATAAACAACCTAAATGAGAGGATCTGAGAATAATAATAATAATAATAATGAAACGAAATCTACTTATTGCGCGCTTTCATGACGACCTTGAACGACTGTGGAGTCAGTGTGATGCCGACTTGACCGTCCATGCTGGGCAGTTCGTCACCATCCGGTAGACATACATCGAATTCGTGTAACAAGGTTGAAAAGAACAAATATAGTTCCATCTGAGCTAACGTCTCGCCCAGGCATTTTCTCCGACCTTTGATAAAAAAATAGCAAAAATAACGATCAACAACGATGATTTCATAAACGCTGCACGTGACTATATATAACACACTATATATAGTACGTATACAATATCGTTCTATTATATGTTTAGAAAAAAAATATAAATATATATATATGTCTTACCGACTCCGAAAGGTAAAAAACAATCGGGTTTTTTCACTTTGCCTTCGGCATTTATAAATCTCTCCGGCTTGAACGCCTCCGGTTCGTCCCATAAGTTCGGGTCGTTGTGTACGAAGTGTTGTAAAGGTATGATCTGAGCGCCGGTCGGTATATGGTAACCATTGAGCGTTACGTCACTGCAAAGACAATACAAAAACTTGATGAAACGCTCGTGACGTGTAATATTCGCGACGGCCGACGACGACGACGTGTTACATGCGCCAAAACGAGAATATAAACAATCATTTACCTGGTGGTTGCGTGTGTCGTGCCCAAAGGCGTGATACTCGACTTCCGGAGTACTTCGTACAAGGTGGCCTGTGTGTAAGGCAAATTGGGATAATCGTCTAGCACCGGCGATTTGTACCGACCCACTACCGAATCGATCTCGTCCTGCACCTTGGTCATCACGTCCGGATAGTGGAGCATGTACACCATGGCCCACAGAATCGTGTTCTTGATGGTCTCCATGCCGGCCGAGAACAAGTCGCCGAGGATCTGTTGCACCTGCCTGTTCGGGTCCAAGCCCTGGAACAGCTGGTCCATCGTGCCGGCTTCCTGGGAGCGTTCGATCTCCAGCAGATAGGCGTCCACCAGGTCTCGGATGTAGTTTGGGTCGAACGTGCTCCGGTGCTCCTCGATGATGTTTTGAAAGTACTTGGCGATCTCCTGGTGGTTGTTCTTGATCTTTTCCTGGATGTTCCGTTCGTCGGTGATGTGACGTCTCGGCAAAAACAAACTCACCGGCCTCAACATGCCGAACAGCTTGAAGCCCTCGTCGACCATGTGCATGTACCGCTCGAAACGTGGGTCGTTCGGTTCGAATCTCACACTCATCGTCAACGAACTAATCACGTTGGTGATGGCGAGACACAGCGAACCGGCATTTAGGTCTATCGGTTTGCCGCAGGTCTTGTGAAACATTTCCGTTAGCGAAGACACTTCGATCTGCGTGAAACAAAATAAATTACCATACGTTAGAAAACATTTTTTAATTTAAATAATATTAATTTAAGGCTGCACCTCTGTATGAGATACAGGCTTGACTTAACTACATTATAATAATATATAGTTTTCAAAAATATTTGTCGTCGTGTTCGACATCGGTCGTTGTTACGAGGCACAGTGAAATATTATAATATTATGTATTGACGTTACTCACCATTATACGGTTTTCCATGTTCAACCTGTTGTGGCCCGTGAACGTCATCCCCATGTGCCGAAGTACCAAGTGCAAAAACTTCCTTTGCGACTCCCATAACTTCCCAGTACTGTTTACGGCTCCTAAACATAAAAAGTAACGTTTCTAATAACAAGTCTGGTCAGTATGGAAATGACACACAGTAATTTTTATATTTTTATTATTATTATTATTATTATTCTAGCCATTATTCGCGTGTCTCGCACACGTTGTGTAATGCAGTATTAGTAGTAGTTGTAGTAGTATTAGCAGTAGTATAGTTGTAGTAGTATTAGCAGTAGTAGTAGTAATAGTTGCAGTATAGTAGTGGCAGTAGCAACAGTACGGGCCACGTGATTATTTAATAATTAATATTGTGCCGGCGTATAGTATGTCAAAAAAAATTGCGACACAGTTTCAAAATATTATATTCAACGTGCATGATATCTCGTCATCTCGAGGACACGCGCGTGTATGTTTTATTTGAATAAAAAACTTAACTACAAAAAAATAATTTAATAACTTACGTGGACGGTGCACAACATAATATTATTATGATATTATTATTATTAATGCGTGCGTTTATAAAATGTCGATTTACGATGTAACGATGACGAGAAAAAAAAACCCATGGTCAAAATACAATTACCAACGGTCTTATTAAATGTCTGCGTTCTCGTTTTATTATAATATCGGTCGCGTATCGTCATAATAATTATCATTATAATATAATACCGGGAAAAAAACCTACCTACGCCCGTCGATTTCTCATAAGTTACATAAAACGTATAATATATAACATTTACTATTATTATTATTATTATTGATTCGTCGAGATAATAACAATAGGACTTACCGTATCCGCCGATGATGTCCATGTACCCGTCGTTGGGCCGCCCGGTGATCTGCTTCATGTCGAACGCCGTCTTGATGAGCTTGTGGTCGCTGAGCAGTATGACGGTGTTGCCGCGCTGCGTGAACGAGCATATGGGCCCGTACCGGCGGGCCAGCTCGTTGTACTTGAGGTACGTGCAGTGGTTGGACAAGAACGGCGCGTACCCCAGGAACGGTACGCCCCACGGCCCGGGCGGCAGCGTCCTGGCGGCCCGGAGCTGCCGGTACGCCGAGTAGGTCAGGCCCAGAGCCGCGGCCACCGCGTTCAGCCACAGTTCGCGGCTGTATCCGTCGCCGCCGGACATGGTCTCGGCCGTCATCTCGCGCTGCCTCCTCAGCCGCGCGGAGAGCCGATGTGGCCGATGCGAACGAGACGGGCGAACAGAGGTATATTTGCTGCAGCAGCAGGGCGAACTTTGGCGACGGAAGGTAAAATCAACGTAATATTACGATACGTATCGCACGAATATATGATTGATAATATATAATATTATAATACAATTTATGTTATATTATTATATTACGAGACGACGTTTTTTTTTTTTTTTAAAAAAAAATTTAACGTCCGAACAACACACCCGACTGCAATGGTATAACGGCGAGCGAGCGAGAGTTCTGCAGCAGTAGCTGGTACTCAAAACACAGATATATAATAATAATATAATATAATATATTATTATTATATTACTAATGATGGTGGTGATGATGGATATAATATTAATATAATAATGTGTGATACGGCGGGCCGCGTAAGTATAATACTCTGCAGGCAGTGTTTACGCAAGACACGCGTGCGTCGGAATCGAAGAGTTGGGATCACTTTTGAAAATAATCGTGGGAGAGTACTTCTTTTGGTCTTTTATAATATATCGGGGTGTCGAAAGCCCATATAGTAGGGATAGGCGTGTGCGTGCGTGTGTGCGTGCGTGCGGGCGTGCGTGTGCGCGAGGTAGGTACCTCGTATAATACATATTATATTATATACGCGGGTACAACATGTGTTGGTATATATAGGTAGGTATATAGGTATAGGTATATACGTACGTATATACACTGCACGTGTGCGCGCATGTGTGTGAGTGTGTGTTTTCTTTCTTTTTAAACATTTTGTTGTTGTTTTCTCTCTGTCCGACCACCGCAAAGCGGACCGACGGTATTATATGTATATTATTGTAGGGGGATACCCGCGACGCGCGATCCGGGGCGGCGGCGGAGGAGGAGCGCGAGAGCGTTCGAGATTTCCTTCCCTTTTTTATTTCGTTTCGTTTCGTTTCGTGTGTCTCGCTTTTTTCTCTACCAACAGGTATCCATACCTACCTATGCGTTTGTTTTTTTTTCTCTTCGTCTCACTCTCTCCCTCGCGCACACCCCACTCGCGGTCCCTACTCCCAGCGCGGCGGCGACGACGACGACGCGACGGCCCAAACGGCGAGTTTCGCCGGGCCCCGGCGGTCGTCGCGCGAACAGACGCGGCCGAGCATTGGGCCGGCGCACACCGCGGCCACCGATCATTATTATTTCACAAACGTATTATACGTATGCACGCACACCTGTAGATCCTCCCAACGGCGAGCCGCGCCGCGCCCACAACACATTTCGAACGAACGTTATTTTTCATTTTTCATTTTCTCCGATGCACATTATGTAAATATATAGTAAAATAATGTATGATAATAGTATTTGTATAATATGTATCTTGTGTGTGTGTGTGTGTGTCTGTATACGTGCGTGCGTGTGCGTGTTTTTTTTTATTTCTTATTTCAATTTTTCGACGTATTCTCGAGGACTCTGGAAACGATGATGTTCTAGTCGTTTAAATAGTTTATTAGAAAACCAAACGTAGGGATATAATATATAATAATAATAATAATAAATAAACCAGAACATAGGACACCAGAAACGGCAAGTTGAGATTGGGAACTTTCGCTTTAGACATTTATATATGTATGTAACGGTCATTTTCACAAAACGAGTCTATTATATTGTTTTGTTTGTGTTTATAAGTATGGAAACAAACATTTCTATCCGTAGAACTTTCGTATATTAGGTAGGTAATAAATAATAAACATATACGTCTTCGTGCCCAGTTTGTTGTATACACAGTGTCCAATATATTTACCGTGGGTACTTTTTTAATATATGTGTTGAGTATAAAGTTTATGATATATTAATTTCTTCGATTGAATATAAAAAAATTGTATTTATCGTAATGTAAATAAATATTGCATACAGATTATAGACGTAAATAAAGAAATAAATACTATTGATCATTTGCTATGTGCAATACTAGCTATTAAATCGATGGTGCACTTTCAATATTATAGGGATATATCAGTAAAAATATATATATAATTGTCTTATTAAAAAAAATACATATACATTAATTTTATTCAGTTCATTAAGTTTTTAGGAAGCGGATTTAGAATAACAAATTCGTTTATAGGTAGTTAACCTATCGAGTTTTAATTTTTTTTGTAAATATTGGTGATGACTAATTAAATAATGGACAATCGCTAATATTATTGTGATCTCTATTATATTTTTATACTACTGTGATAAATCTATCAGAAAAACTATTTAAAATTTAAACAGGCTTCTAAATTACTTTGGATATTTTTATTTTATTTATTTACATTACGCCTACAATCAGAAAATGGACTATATTCCTATAGTGTTAAGCAGATAAGGTAATAGCGTATTTACAAACAAATAATAAATATACAGTTAATAATAATATAACAAACAGCAATGGCTCATCAGACATAATAATTGAGAATATAATATTTATTTAGATAGATTGATACTTATAGAGTAGGTATACGACTTTATCAGTGGCAAATAATGGGTGCAAACGTACAATAATCTTTCAATAATATTTTTTACTTCAGATTCTTAATGGGTGTGATGAACCGTTGAACATGTGTTGAACTTTGGTACATATTTTTATGACAATTCATGGGTTCTAATGTTCTATAGACAATAGGTTAGGAGCCAAACTCACATTCTGCAATTGTCTTATAAAAAAATGTTAAGTATTCTGTGTACCTAGATTTGCAGAAAAAAAGTTTACTTTTATAACTTTTAGTTTAAAAAAAACGAAGCCATAGTTAACCACGATTTAAAAATCTCAAAAGTTGTCAACAATTTTTTTTATTAATGTTTTATAATTGTAAATCATGGTGTCATTGAATATTAAGTGTTGAAACGAATTATGACTTATTTTGGATTTATTTAATATGATTTATATTTGCCGCAGATATTAGGTAACTGTAATTAAAATTAAAATTTAATCCAATTATTTATTATATTATGTATATAATTATACTCAAAAAATATTTAATTATTATATTTATATTAATGAAAAGATTACATTTTTATAAAAAAAAAAATTTCCCATACAAATAATGTTAGTAGAGCACCCGAGACTGAGAATAATTTTTCGAATGCTAGAATATTATGATAGGTACCATAATATCCTGAAAATAATAGTGAAAAATCTATATATGAGTTTACAATACCTGACTCTCGCGAATGTCGTATCCTGTTTTATTTGTATTTTCATAGAAGGTAATTCGTGATAATTTGAAACTAGGTTCTGACAGAGTTCAATTATTTTTTTTGTATTTCTATAACTGAAAACTTGTACTTGTGTTCAGTGAAATAAATAAATATATCAATGACTTAAGACTGCAACATTTAAAAAAAAAATTAGGTGAAATTTGATATTCGATGTGCAAATTATTATTTTTTTTTTTCATACGTACACTTTACAGCATATAAATAAAGAAATATTATATTATATACACCTTTAAGTCTGAGCTTGTGACGGAGAAGAGTTAACAATTATATACAGTACTTTTTAAAATAAAAGTAAAATTATAAATAGGAAATACTATTATAATACCTAGTAGTACATTAGTTCTTACTAAAACATATATGTTGACAAGTATAGTGTTATGGTATTTATTGCAATGCATAATTTATTTATAGTATAATAAATAATACTTGGTACCTAATATAATAATTAATTTACAATTAATAATCCAGTCCTCTAATAGTCATTAAATCGGAAAACATAAAAAAAAGTGTTGGCAAGTGGATGTCGCTCTGCTGTACAGTATGTTACAAGTGGGTCACTGTAATGTATGGTGTTAAATTTGAATTTGCCGTATACAAAAAATGATTCTGAGCGAAGACGGTCAGCCTATCATATTATTAAGTATATTTGACGAAACTGTGAATAAAGTAATTCATTTACCTATTTACGTAGGACCATGTTTTAAATTTCAATCCTTAGCTATAAAAGTTGAACATTTTAAAAGATTTTAACAAAAAAATCATTTTTAAATTTTAAATTTGATAAATATTGTCAAAAATCGACTTTAAATGTTTATAAAAAAAACTGTGGCCATGTATTTTTATTATTTTTCAACTGCTATTTAAACAATATATCAGTAATACAATTTTATTGACATTTATAGAAAACAGATTTGGAAAACTGAAATTGTCCGTAAACAGTTTAAAATAAGTCAAAATATTTTGAAAATTTTATCAAGTATAGGAATTGATAAAATAATCACATGGTAAAAATTTCAAGTATCTACAGTTATTCGTTTTTGAAATATAACAAAATAAGAAAATCGCTACTTTACAAATCCAGTGAATTCAATATTGTAAACATTTGAAGTTTAAACGCTCATCAAAATTTAATTTGACTTTCCAATAGATATTTTTTTGATAAAGATAGACATACTTATGAGGAACCTTGAATTAAATTCTCAAATCTTAGATTTAAAAATAAAATTTTTATGGATTTCTAACACAAAATAATTTGCACATTTTCACGATTTGTAAGTATTTTGTCAAAATTCGAACTTTAATGCTTGTACAAAAAATTGAAACTATGTATTTTTAATATTTTTTAACGGTCATTGTACCAATATCTTAAGAGCCTTCTATTAAATCTACAAGCTTTGTGACCCAACCAAATTTTATTGATATTTATAGAAAAAAAAATTGGAAATCGAAAATGTTCGTAAACAGCTCAAAACAAATCACATTTTGAAAATTTTATTGTGTATAGAAAATACTAATATTAATATTCAGTGAAAATTTCATGTGTCTACAGTCATTTATTTTGTTTTAGTGTTTATCAAAAGCCAAAATTGATTTTGTCGAAAAAATGTACCAACTAGATTCACTTTCTTATTATAAAACATGCTGTTGAATAAAATCTAAGCATTACTACTGTTCTAAATGTGATGACAGACACAAATAAAAAAAATAAAAAAAACACACATCATTGTAAAACCAATACATT